ACTTGAGAGTGAATGAGCAGGGATTGCCACACATGATGTCAACTGTGAACCCACTGTTGTGGCCCTGCCACCTCCAACAGGACAGTCCTGTGGCAGTGCACTTGGGGCAGGCAAGTTGGCATACAAGAGATGAGAGCTCCAGCAAAGCCCATCTATATGGCAACTTGATGTCATGCTCTGTGTTGAGAGACAGCTCTTGTCATTGTATGGTTCAATCTGCAGAAAAGATGATCTCCATTTTTCTTTCTGTTCTTCCTGGTGATCAACCATTCTAAAGCTGCACAGCGTCTCCTCTTCTCTTGCTGCCATCTTAGCTTGAGCTTCTTGGTGTACTGTCTTAGCCTTCACTGATGGAGACAAGACCGCTTTTCCTCTAAAACTTTTTGGCTGAAGTCTGAATTCGTTGCATTTTTCGCTGTTGGACAACAAACAACCTGCATGCTTAGCATTTTTTTGAGGCGCAAAGGGGGGGGGGCTCGCCCATACCTCGTCCTTAAGCCTCCCCAGCCTGCCACATAAAAACGCAGACACCCTACTTCCACGCACCACAACACCACCAACAACACCACGGCCACCCAACTGCCCCATGCCTTTCTGTTCGAATTGTGGGGCGGCTGTGCCGCCTAATGCTCGCTTCTGCTCGGGCTGTGGCCAAGCCACCGCCGCCGGCGCTGCCCCTGCTCCTTCGTCCCCCGCCTCCTACTCGCCATCTTCCTCCAGCAACGTGTCATCCATTACCGGCGTGGCCCAGCAGGGAGCGTCCGTTTCCAACGCGTACGCTACACTCTCTCCTTTTCCATCTTCTTCATCTGCGTGTAGAGCACCACCCACACCCACCCCCCTTGCAGGTACCTGATGGGAGGCCTGGGCAAGGGCGCTGACGTCAACACCGAGCTGTCCCGCATCCTGGGCGACACCAGTGCGCCCTATTCTTGACCCTCCTTGTTCTACTCTCTACTCGTTTGCTTGAGCTCACCCCCCGCACTCGCGCCTCCAGGCACGCAGCGGCAGTGGTCGACCGAGACGCGAGGGCCGCAGCAGTCGCTCGGCACCTGCGTCGCCTGTCGCAGCCCCATCCAGTCCGAGAGCATTCAGGTGCACCTCCTCGGCCCCCTGATCTCAACCTCGCGAGCCGCTGACCCTCAACTTGATGGTGCTGGCGGGTGATGTGTACCCAAGGCGCTGGGCGGAGTGTGGCACACGGGCTGCTTCAAGTGTGGCGGCACTTGCGGCGAGCTGTTCGCCAAGACCGGCAACAACCGCGTCCTTGGTACCGCCCGCTCTGGTGGCAAAGTGCTAGCTAACACGCGGTTTTTGCTGACCGTTGGTGTGGCGGTGCGTGGCGTTCGTCGTCGAAAACCAAACAACTCTCTTAGAGAAGGACGGGAGGCCCTACTGCGAGAACTGCTACGACGCCAAGTTCGGCGAGCAGTGCGCCGCCGGGTGCGGGAGAGGTCTCGGCCCACAGCGGGTCAAGGCCCTCGGCGGCCTGTGGCACCCCGACTGCTTCAGGTACTCCCCCATCGCTCGCGAGACCCCATCACGCACGCCCAATCTCTGACCTGTTTCGTTGTTTGGGGGCGCATACAAAAAAGGTGCACGGCGTGCAAGGCCAAGTTCGAGGGCTCGGGCGTGATCAACCGAGGCGGGAAGCCCTACTGCAAGACCTGCTCGGCCAAGTGACACGGTCAAGTGTTGTGGCCGTCTTCTCCTCGCCCCCCCCCCCGTAACACATAGCAAATCTTCTCTTCACCAGAGCGACGAGCGAGGAAGCACCGCAGCGCATGTGGCCTACAAAATAACAGATCATGACATGTACTTGTACGCCGCCACTCTCTTTCTCTTCTCTGTTCTGTTGACGGACGACGCGATCATGATCACTCGAGTACGCCCTTGGTGCTGGGCACGGCGTCGGCGGGGCCGTCTTTGGTCACAGCCTCGCGCAGGGCCAGCGCAGTGGCCTTGAATGCCGATTCGGCCTTGTGGTGGTCATTCGCACCGTACAGGACCTGTGTCGTGTTGGTCCCACGACGGTAAGCGCTTACCGCACACGCACACGAACAATCACACACACGACACACACACGACACACACAGCCAACCGCACGCGCACCACACGCGGTGTCGTACCTCAACGTGAAGTGTGAGGTTGGCGCTGGTGGCGAAGGAGTGAAGGACGTGAGGAATCATCTCGCACGAGAGCTCTCCGATCTTCTCCCGCTTGAGCTTGAGGTCGATCACGGCGAACGGGCGCGACGAGATGTCCACCACGGCGCGCGCCAGGCTCTCGTCCAGCGGCGCGTAGGCCGACCCATAACTGAACCCAACACGCCCGTACTCAGCGCCCAGTGTATACAATCGGCACCACCACCATCATCATCGCGTACCGCTTGATGCCCTTACGCTCACCAATTGCCTGGCGGAAGGCTTGGCCCAGCACGATCGCGCAGTCCTCGGCTGCGCCCCGCCAAGCCGTAATTACATTGTTGCCAATAAATAATTAAATAAATAATGAATTACGTTTACACATATAAAGACATATTTAAAGTAAAAATCGTGAAGTGGGCTGAGGGGAGGGGTACAGGTGTGGTGGTCGTCTACGTGGAGATCGCCCGCGCATCGGAGATAGAGATCGAAGCGACCATGCTTGGCGAGGGCGGACAGCATGTGGTCCAGGAAGCCGATGCCGGTCTTCACATCGGACACGCCCGTGCCGTCGAGCGACAGACGCACCTCGATCTTGGTCTCCCCCGTCTCTCGCGCCACCTGTGCCTCCCTCTTTTCCATCTCTCTTGCAATTATATATTTCTTGTCCTTTTTCTTTTCATGGTTTAATTTCCTTTACCTTTTCTCTTTTTATGTGCGGACAAGTGTGCAACTCCTGTTTATTCGTTACCGAATGGGTTGGAAGGAGGAAGTGAGGAGAGCGGGAAGAGGATGACAGAGAGCGAGAGGGAGAGAAGGTGAAAGACCGCCCCGGACTCAAATCGAATCCAGTGGTGCAGTGGGGAGCGAATTCGCCTCTACGCGTTTAGAGGGTGTCGGCGAGGGGGTACTCGGAGGGGATATCTACCACCTCCGGGCGGATGCCGGGCGGGTAGGGCACGGTCCAGCGGAGCTCCTCGAGGGAGAGAAGAGCAGCGCCGCCCTCAATGACCTGGGACTCAGTCGGGTAGGGAGGGACGAGCTGGTAGGTGCGGACATCGCTGAGGGCGACCAGGCTCAGGTGACGCTCAAAGTGGGGCAGGGCGTCGCCCACGCAGCCGCAGTCCTCGATGTTCTGCCTGTCAGGGCCGCGCTTGGCCTTGGCGGCGGTCATGATCTTCGCAAGCTTCTTCTTCTTGTCGAGTTCGCGTATGGGCAGGTCGCGGGTGATGAAGTTGTTGTTCCCGTCGAAGACCTGGATGCTACTGATGGCGCCGAGCACCGTGACACTGTCTTCCTCGGTCTCGACCACGGGGAAACCGACGAACAGGAAGCCGTTCGCCTCGGGCCAGACCTCGAAGAGTGCCGAGAAGGACTGCGACCCGCAGAGCACGCCACCGTCGCCCACGGGACCCGTCACGGCGCCTTCAGAGTTTCTCGCGAAGATCGTGTCAAGGACAGTGGTGTTGAAGTCGTCGGCGAGGTCCCCCAGCGCCTGAAGGAACTCGAGCCGGGCCGGGACGGTCTCCGGGATGATAGAGGTGGACCTGTTGGCGAAGCCGGCCCAGCCAGACTGGAGGTCGAACTGGTACAGCAGGCCGGCGACGGGGGCGTTGGTGATGGTCAGCTTGACCAAGCGGGCGCCGTTGCGGCACCTGTTCCAGATGGGCTCGCACACGGCGGTCTCCTGCTCGTAGAGCATGGCAAATCGAAGGTAGGACATGATCGAGGCCTTCCTGCGGACGATCTCGCGCTCGCACCACGACACGTTCTTCTTGAGCTGCTCAATCTCCCAGAGGCTCTCGGTGACCAGGGTCTCGCAGCGATCGAGCGAGCACTGGATGGTCTCGCGGCGCTGGCGGGTGGCCCTCGAGGCGGGCTTGGACATACCGAGGAAGACAGTCTCGTCGAACTCGTGCATGCGCTTACGGAGGCGGTTCTCCTTGGCGACGTAGGGGTGCTTGACGATGCTTTCGTCGGTCTCGCGCCTGGGGCCAATCTCGCGGGTCAAGAGGGCCTCGTTGTCGTCGTTGCACTGGGTGAGGTTCAGCAGACAGCCGATGGCCAGGGAGCGGTTCTGGTCGCGGTACCACTCGTTGAGGCGATCCTCCTCGACCAGGGGGGCAAGGCGGGCGAGACATTCGTCGCGCTCCTCCTCCCACTCGCTCTCATCGCGCACGGACTGCTTGAGGCTGGCGAGACACTGATCGAGCATCTCCTCGCTCGCTTCCTGGGTGGGCCTCTTCTTCGACATCGCCGACATCTTGTCCATCTGGGTCGCGGGGGCGAAACTCTTGCCCTTGCGGAAGCTGGGCTTACGGATGGCCATGGCGCCACACAGGAACGCCAAAAGCACGACGGCTACGAGGACTGTTGACCACTTCATCCTCTAGCTCTCTGTATGACACTCGACCTTCACCTTCTATTCCTCCTCCTTCAAGTCGAGTTCAACTCTCTTCGTGTCGGGAAGGTACCAGTGAGGAGTACAAAAACACGGTCAATACCATGCACTCGAGGAGGCGCCGGACCTACCTAATAGCAACCGCCAAATAAGAGAATTTCTTTTTGTTTTGTGTAAATATGGCCATTTTTATTGAGATTTCTTGCAGAACAAGATCGAGGAAAGAA